ACCCAAAAAGGTGAAAGTCTGGCATCCAGTGAAAAGTTACCAGGCATGCAGAGAAAGAAGAAAACATTACCCATTATGAGAAGAAGAAATCCATCAACTGAAACTGACCCAGAACTCACAGATTCTTTCTCTTACATGAGCCCTGCTTAATCTCCACTGCTTTGGAAATTTCTTCACTTCTTTTATATATTTTTTTCTAGTTTCACTGAAAATGAAGTTTTCATTTTAACCTTGCTGACTGACGTTCCATGCCATCTTGACACTGGAAGGGTCAAAGATTTATGGAAAATACCAGACAGAGCCAAGGCCAAATGATTATCAGTGGTTAATGGATTTATTATTTATTGAATGACTCCTTAAGCATTAGGTAACCTATGGGTCTAACCCTAGGGACAGTACTGAAGTCTGTAATCACATCTATGTAACACATATGTTCCCGGTTTTGACAGGTTAACTAATGTCTCCTCTAAGAGGACACATCCATATATTGTTATGCATCATGAAAAAGGGTCATGAAAACAGCAGTAGTGTTAAATTATAAAGGTATAAAATAGGGTTTATTAGAGAAAAAACTTACTAGTAGAAAGTAGTCAAGTCCATGGGATCCCTCAAATCTAATTATCCCAGAGCTCAGGCCAGGCATAGAGGGTCTCTATACACTGTGGCCAACTTTCCAATCAAGAGGGCCTCTCTGTCCTTAATTTTTTACATATCTTTTACAGTGATGGGTCAGAGTGGGATGAAGTATAGAACTGCTATGATTGGTCAGAAAAGGGGAGCCTCCAGAATCCCACATCTGGTATCTGCTTATTTGACTGAGCCAGCTCAGGTCTGCTGAGCCACTTCTCTGCCAAATGACCAATATGAAGGAGAAAAATGAACCTCCAGAAACATCCAGATTTGTTTCTCTTCAGATGTTTTAGAGATATGATCTGATACATCAATTACCCGAATTTATATTGTCACCGATCATGCTGTAATGGATTTTTAGGATGTTAATTTTGATTGCTATTCAAAATGAAGACAGTTGCCTTAGAACTGTAACCTCACTGGGTCTCCATTTCTTTATTACTTGAAAAAGGAGGGGAAGGGGTTGAGGTTGATGTATTTGGTAGCTACTCTCATGCCGAAAGTGAACTTAAAATTTGAAAGCTATGATGGCATTCCTATACATATTCTTCTGTCTTCATACCCTGAAGTCTAGCTCTCTGCACCACATTTAATGGGACTGGCTGACTTTGAATCCCTTTCAACCTTGAGATTCGATTGCCTCGCTGTGCAATTATTCCCGTAATTTAGTAAGAACAGTTAACCACCAGAGGGCAGTCAGGTTACAAGGCAGTAAGGAGTGATGCTGGCCATAAATGGGCAGCAAGGTACACATTCAAAATGAAGTGCATCTGTGACTTAAAATTCGTATTTCAGGGGTTCCTGGGTGGCTCAGTTGGTTAAGTGTCTGCTTTTGGCTCAGGTCATGATCCCAGAGTCCTGGGATCAAGCCCCCACTTCGGTCGGGCTCTCTGCTCAGCGGGAAGTCTGCTTCTCCCTCTCCTCCCCGCTCGTGCTCTCTCTCTCTATCTCTGTGTCTGTCTCTCAAATAAATAAATAAAATCTTTAAAAAAAATAAAATTCACATTTCAATTAAATTCCATGAAAATTTTATTGCCGGCTAACCCCTTCCTCTTAGAGGTTTTAATGGAGGCCTCATTATACCGGCATGATTAATTAAATCATTGGCCACTGAGGACTGATTACACCTCCAGCCTCTCTCACCTTCCTGGAGGTCAAGGGGCAGGACCAAAGTTCCAACCCTTTAATGACCTGGTTGGTTCTCCAGGCAACCAGCCCCCATCCTCAGGTGTAGTCCAATAGTCACCTCATTAACATAACACAAGATATCTTTATCACTCTCAACACCTAGGACATTTCAAGGGTTTTAGGAGCTGTGAGCCAGAAACAGGGATGAAGACCAAATATGTATTTCTTATGAATCACAACATCACACTTGCCTCCTTCACTCTATGTTCTGTGTTGTGGCAGGCGTCTGATGACTAATAATGCCTTCTGACACCTCACAGCCCAAACATACAATGTTAAGAAGGAAAGAATGGCTGTCCATTCACAGTGTGTGGGATCTCTTTTCATTCACTCAGCAAGTCTGAATTGAGCACTTACTATGTCAAGTACTATCCCATCAACTGGGGATGCAACAAAGCAAAGTTTCCTGACCTTGCGGAATTGACATTCTGGTGGGAGGATAGACTCAGTAACAATGAAAAGATGTGGATTATATAGTGTGTGAGGTGATCAGTGCCGCGGGAAGAAAGGAAAAGTAGAGTGTGGGAGGAGATTGGGACTCAGGCAATGAGTCTGCAATTTTCTTCGGTAGGGTGGTTAGGGGAGGAAATATATGACCAAAATTAAGGTGAGGGAACTGGTCATGTGGCTATCTGGGGAAATAGCATATCAGGCAGAGAGAATAAACATGAGAAGGTCCTAAGACAAGAGGGTCCCTGATAGTAGATGAGGTTGAGGTAAGAAGGCAGCACATAACAAAGAAATTTTGGTTTTTACTCTGAGGAAGCCTTAAGCTATTGGCAGCTGACTCACATATATCCTCACTGCACCATAGCACTGTGCCAAGCAGTTTACACTTTCTCATTTAAGCCTTCCAATACCTGTAATATTGTCACCGTGATTAGCTCTATTTCAAAGATTTTTTAAAAAGGAAATTGTAAATATTAGTGACTGGACCAAGTTTTAAATGAAGTAAATGAAGCAAATGGAATTCTTGAAAGCTATAACTTGAAGAATCCCTCCCAATGTGAAGAAACATTGCCTAAACAAGGCTTAGTACCCCAGTTCTGAGGAACGAAAGATGGTGATGATAGGGGGGTTGGGAGGTCCATAAGTGTTTGAGTTCAACCACACTAGCTTCTCTTAAAGTTCTATCTAGCTATTACACCCCAAACTTCCTGACACTGTAACTGAACTGACTTCTGTACCACTGATTCCAAAGTTTCCCTCTAGAGCTTGGCCTTTGTGTGGTCTGTTCTGTACACATTTGGGTTTTTAAAGCGGCAGCATCCATCGCTGAAATGACTTTTCTCTAGGGGGTTCCTCTCAAGCTGTGCTGGTTTAAAAACCCACCCAGACAGTGCTGCTCAGAGGGGATGTCCCCAGGACCCCCAGTGCTGGTCTGTGACAAGGTAAGCAGAGAATTTGAAAATGTTTGTAAACTTTACTAGCCATTTTACAGAGTAGTTTTATGTCTGCTAAATCGAATAGATTGGGGCTTGTATTTAGTATATCTTGTTTTTAAACTTAATTTTTCATAATTTACTTTTATAGTGTTTAATCTGAATATACAGTGGTCCAACCATATATACAAATAGAACTCTGACCCACAACCTGCAGTAACCTCGCTAGAAAACCGATGCCTTATCTATAATAAATCAGCTTAGGAAGCCTGCCTATTTTAAGTCAGACTTGCAGGAAGCCAGATTGCTAGCTTTAGAAACAACCCAGGAAGTTAATAAACGACTGTAACAATTGGCCCCGAATGGCCAGGACTTGATTAATAACTGACAGCTTTCCTAATTTTTGTCCCAACTCAGGATCAACCAGAGAAAGCCACACATGGCTAACTGACGATGGCTAGGATCACACAGGATGCCCCACTTCTTTTTTTTTTTTTAAGATTTTATTTATTTATTTGACAGAGAGAGACACAGCGAGAGAGGGAACACAAGCAGGGGGAGTGTGAGAGGGAGAAGCAGGCTTCCCGCAGAGCAGGGAGCCCGATGCGGGGCTCGATCCCAGGACCCTGGGATCATGACCTGAGCCGAAGGCAGACGCTTAACGACTGAGCCACCCAGGCGCCCCAGGATGCCCCACTTCTAATTAGTCTCCCTACAGCTTTCCCACGCCAATAGCCTTCAACGAGGGCACGCCTGAAGCATTGCCTTTTTCCTCTATCAACCGTTCCCACTCCTCTGTCTGCCTTTGATTTTTCTGCCAAAACTCAACGGGTGGTGGCTCTCCTGCATAGCAAGTTCTGAATAAATTGCCTTTGCATTTTTCATGTGGTTGGTCTTCACTTGTTTCCACATACTGGAAGAATAAAAGGGGAATAAAGAATCTAAACAGGAGTCTTCTTCTTTTTTTTTTTTTCAAGATTTTATTTATTTATTTGAGAGAGAGAATGAGATAGAACGAGCATGAGAGGGGGGAGGGTCAGAGGGAGAAGCAGACCCCCCGCTGAGCAGGGAGCCCGATGCGGGACTCGATCCCGGGACTCTAGGATTATGACCTGAGCCGAAGGCAGTTGCTTAACCAACTGAGCCACCCAGGCGCCCCTAAACAGGAGTCTTCTATTGCAGACAGGTTGGGGAGCATCCCCCCAGGCTCCAAGGTCTCCCGCAGGCGGGGACCTTACAGCCCCGGAGGAGAGAGCATCCCAAACACTAGCCGCCCAGCACAGAGGGGACAAGGGGGTAGCGAGATTCTCCGGACCAGGTGTGGGCGGGGGGAGACAGGACGGATGCCGGGGGCTGGCGCCGCGGTAGGAGGCAGCCTGAGGGGCGCCTGGGTGGCTCAGTTGGTTAAGCAGCTGCCTTCGGCTCAGGTCATGATCCTGGAGTCCCGGGATCGAGTCCCGCATCGGGCTCCCTGCTTGGCAGGGAGCCTGCTTCTGCCTCTGACCCTCCCCCCTCTCATGTGCTCTCTCTTTCTCATTCTCTCTGTCTCAAATAAATAAAATAAAAATCTTAAAAAAAAAAAAAAAAAAAGGAGGCAGCCTGAGCCTAGCACCCCAGACCCTTTCTGCTCTTTCAAGCGTCCGGGTGTCTGAGCGGGAATGGAGCTTCTGCGCATGCTCTGTACGCATGCGCACTCTCGGCACCGCCCTTCGGGCCGGTGCTGACGTCACGTCCGGCGACGGCGGCGGCGGCGGCGGCGGCGGCGGCGGCGGGTCGCTGGCTTCCCCGGTGCAGGTGTGTGGCCTCCTCCCTCCCCCGAGGGGCGCGTCCGTGTCCTCGGCGGCCTAACGTCGCCCGCCGGCCGGTCAGCGCGCTGGGCCTGGTTTCCGCTGCCTCCCCCGGACCACTTAGTCTCCACCCGGGTGTGGTTTCCACTACTAGAGGTGAAGCATAATAGGGAGAACGGGACCCGGGGTCTCGGACCGGGGTGTGTTTGCATTTCCTGAAGTGGACGCTCAGGGGCCGGAGTGTCACTTTACCGTATTTCCTCCAGGACTTGTTTGCTGCTGTAGTGCAATCCGAGAATGGCGTTTTTAGGCCACGGGCACCGCATCACCCTGCAGCTGTTTGGATGCTGTTTTTAAACGAATCCCCGAACTCATTGAGCGTTTTAGTGCTTTGGAATTTTTTTTTAAATTGGTCCCCAAAGCTCAGAACCCTTTAGAATTTCTCATTTTAAACGATTCCCCCTCTTTCCTGTGACTGAAGGGGCTCAGAGCGTATCTTTTCAATAAGACCGTGGCTGTCTGAAACTTCTCAGGATTTCTAAAACCTCAGGTTTCTAAAACATATGTTTATGTATATATGTATTTTTTTCTTTTGCATCGACGTTTTAAGCATTTGGGCCAGGCAGTGCCAGTACTTCCTGAAAAATGTGTTACATCCATTTTATTCTTAAAATGCCAACCCAATTTGACCTTTTCCCGATGACTGGCTGTCAGTCTTATGAACGTTTATTGTGAAAGAACCCGAGACCACTGAACTTTTTGAATTCTGATGCCAGATTTTGAGTCGTTCTTCTGTCCCCAGCTTTGTGGCATCACTTGTCAACAGGCTAGGCTCCTGCCCCTCTTCTGGTTTACGATTTAGTGCTGTTAATCTGTGGTGGGCTCTGAATTTTGGTAATTGCAAACTTGTGGCTTTTTACTTTACAGCTTCGTTTTTCATTTTACAAAATGTCCATTCAAAAATATGGCTAAGCAAAAGAAAGATTTAAATCACCCGGAATCCTACTTACCTAAAGATAACTCATTGCCAATATTTTATAATATAGTCTAATTTTTTAAATGCATAGTATTTATAGAACGAAAGGAATCCTAGTGGATACGGTTTGGTAACCCCTTTTGCATGACATCTTGTATCTTCATATTTCACTAATTTTTTTCTTTGAACGTGTGCAATGACTAGGAACTCCCCTAAGTAGGAACCCTAGTGCCTGCACCTTGCAAAATCTGTTTTAGCAGCTCAGAGGACTTTAGTTTTATGTCTTGGTTTTAGGCCAAGGAACATAAGTGAGGTGGTGTTAGTTGTTTAAAAGGAGATACTTAATGTTGAGTCCTACGCAAGGGCAGCCAGCTTATTTTAGAATATCGAATTCTTGGGGGAAGTTGCAGAAAATCATTGGAAAAATTCCCAATTCTTCATTCTTTGTTTTTAAGCACACTCTTTCCCCCTTCCTGCTCTTTCTCTCTCCTCCAAGAATGAAACATGACTGAGGACTCTCAGAGAAACTTCCGTTCAGTATATTATGAGAAAGTGGGGTTTCGTGGAGTTGAAGAAAAGAAATCATTGGAAATTCTCCTAAAAGATGACCGACTGGGTGAGTTTTACAAGCTAAATTAAAGTTATTGGGTTTTAATCATCCCAGCTGTCCTGAAAGAAATGCTATCTTAAAAGACATTCAGAAGTATTTGTTACCTGCTGTATTTTTTTAGTGATAGGATGACAGGTGAACAGTGTATTTTGGGAGAAGTTATGGATTTTTCAAGTTAATATTTTGCCAAGGCCAAGTCAGATGTCTTTGCAAGGTCTCAAGAAGTCAGTGATGTTTTTTCTCATGTTTCCCATATATTTCCTTTTCTCAGTTTTCAGAGGTGTTACTAGCTTTTGGGTAAATTCACAGTAACTCTTGGCCATGATTTTTCTTCTGTAGAAATACTGAGACTACATTATGCCTTGATATTTTAGTTTCTTTGTAGTAATAAGGTCTGTTCTTTTGATTAGAATAAAATAAACTGAACCATAGGGAAGAATAGTTCTTTATATGTGTAGAATGCTTTTAAAATTTCAAAACCAGGGGCGCCTGGGTGGCTCAGATGGTTAAGCGTCTGCCTTCGGCTCAGGTCATGATCCCAGGGTCCTGGGATCAAGTCCCACATCAGGCTCCCTGCTCCTTGGGAGCCTGCTTCTCCCTCTGCCTCTCTCTCTCTCTCTCTGTCTCTCATGAATAAATAAATAAAATTAAAAAAAAAAAATTTCAAAACCATTTCCCACCTGATCTTTGATCCTCACTAGACAGTCTGTGTTTTTTAACTATGTCTGGAATTATTCTTTTTTTTTTTTTAAAGATTTTATTTACTTATTTGAGAGAGAGAATGAGATAGAGCATGAGAGTGGGGAGGGTCAGAGGGAGAAGCAGGCTCCCTGCTGAGCAGGGACCCGATGCGGGACTCGATCCCGGGACTCCAGGATCATGACCTGAGCCGAAGGTAGTCGCTTAACCAACTGAGCCACCCAGGCGCCCTGTCTGGAATTACTCTTATTTGACAAGTAGGGGGATTTGAGGTCCAGGACAGTTGAGTGTGGTTTATTGGAAAATGTAGAGATTTGAGGGCTGACCATGCCACTCACTAGCTGTACTAACTTAATCAAGTCATTTAATTACTTGGAGCTTCAGTTTCTGCATTTTTTTTAAAAAAAGAGAAATCTTTATTTATTTGAGAGAGAGAGCATGAGTGAGGAGGAGGGGGAGAGGGAGAGGGAGATGCCCGCTGAGCAGGGAGCCCGATGCAGGGCTTGATCCCACAACACTGAGATCCCAACCTAAGCTAAAATAAAGAATTGGACGCTTAACCGGCTGAGCCACCCACGCACCCCAATTGCTGCACCCAACAAGCTTGCAGTATGGATTAAATGAAATAAATCCTATAGACAGTACCTACTGCTATGTTGTAGGGAATGTGGTACTATATGCAAAATGCATCACCTGTGCCATGAGGCACTGATTGTTTTTAAACAGCTAGTTGATGGAACACCTGGGCTAGAAATCAGACCAGCATTGCCTTTCCTAGATTTACTGACGGGAGTAGAATTCTTCTGAAGAAATGTTACTCTACTTTAATTTTTTAAAAATGAAATGCGCTTTCACATGATCAGCGTAAAAAGCTTCTAACTGGTTTTTTTTTTTTTTTCTTCCTTCCTCTAGATATTGAGAAACTTTGTACTTTTAGTCAGAGATTCCCTCTCCCGTCCATGTACCGTGCGCTGGTGTGGAAGGTGCTTCTAGGTATGAGACCCAACGGTTGGAAGGTTTATCTTCAAAAGTGTTGAATGAGGGGATATTCGTCATCTTATCAGTCAGAAAAAGGATTTTTTTAGGCCCTTTACTGCATATCGGGTCTACTCAGGAGACTGAATTACTGCTCACCGTGAAAGCGTTTGTTTAAGAAGGTGACTTCAGTAGCAGTACATTACATATGACTCTTAAGAGTGTCAGTTTAGTCATGACAGAAGAGAAAGTAATGTGTGTTCCTGAAACTGGGCGTGGGAAGAGCATCGTATTGGAGAAAGAAGTGGTCTGGGCTTTACCATCACCTGGATAACCCTGAGGAAGACCCTGCTAGGCCTCAGTTTTTGCACCTGTAAAATGAGGCTATTGAGCTAAACTAACTCTGAGGTCGTAGCTCTCAATTTGTTACCTCTGTGATTCCCAGCTGCAGAGTTCTAACTTCCTGATGAGTGCTCTCTCAGAAAGAAATGGAAGAGTTTTGGGGCGCCTGGGTGGCTCAGTCGGTTGAGCAGCTGCCTTCAGCTCGGGTCGTGATCCCGGAGTCCTGGGATTGAGCCCCGCATCGGGCTCCCTGCTCAGTGGAGAGCCTGCTTCTCCCTCTCCCTCTGCCTGCCTCTCTGCCTACTTGTGCTTTCTCTCTCTCTCTGTCAAATAAATAAATAAAATCTTAAAAAAAAAAAAGGAAGAGTTTTTACTTCCTAAAAGCACAAATTGGTACATTTCAGTGATGAGTGGCTGAAGGAGAAGGAGAAAGGAACCTGCTCAGTTTCTGTGGAAGAAAAAGTGTATTAGGTTCCACAAGTGACTGGCAGCATCCCATCTGAGCCGAGATTTTTTTTTCTATGACTGCTGAGCCTGCTGATGCATATAACATCCATCCATTACCATTCTCCTTTTCTTTCTTTCTTTAAAAAAAAAATGAGAGTAAGCCCAGAATTCTCCAGTGAGGTAGGTATTAATATCCCGGTTTTACAGATGGGGACAAAAACCGCAGGCTAAATCACTTAACCTAAGGCCTGGAGTCTGTAAGTGGCTGAGCTAGGATTTGAGCTTAGGTTGGTAGAGCCCATTTTCTTTCCAAAATGTACTGTGTTTTCAGGACTTGAGAAATCTGCAGTCCTAAGTCTGATTATGTAATGTGGAGGCAGAGGGGGAATACAACCCATCCTAGAAAGCACTGTATGATGCCTTTTTTTGTTGTACGTCCTGGCAGTCTTTGTGCACTTGGGTTTCTGGTGGGCCACCATCCAGGTAACGTCTAGAGAGCAAGTATCAACTATTGTAGTTTTTCCCTGAGCATTTTTTTCTTCAATCTTGGTGTTTCCGGTAGCCATCAAAAAAAAGCCTTCCAGGGATGTCTTTTAGGCAGTAATGCTGATACTATTTCTGTTGGGAAATACTATGTGTCTTATGAGTTAATACCAGTGGATTCGTGGTACTCTGTGACACTTCGTGAGTGCCAAGACTCGTTCATCACCTCTGTTTTTCCCACTTGTCTTTATCAGGTAAGTCTTTCTTGTTGTTTTGTGGTAAAGATGCTGGAGATTTGGAACTGCCATGCTGTGTAGGGGACAAGCTAACGCTTCCAAGCACAGGTGTTGATTACTCAGGGACCTCGTCAGGCCTGCTTCCTGATAGATTTCGGTAAATACCGGAAAGAAGCTTTTTAGAACTAGCTCTTAGTTTGAGGCTTCACATGGGAAGCACTGTGCTGCCCCTGGTAGTATGAAGAAGGTTGAATTACAGCTGTTTAGTCTTTATTAGCCCAGATTTGGAGGACATTTTAGTGTATTCCCTTGACTTTTCCAGAAGCCTGACATAGAACCCCAAAGCTAAGGTAGGTAAAGCTTTATGTCGGGACAAAGAACATTTAGCTGAGTTAGGTTCTAATGTTAACATGGCATCGCGTTAGCTAAAGTCTTTCGAGCTCATCCAACTTTTGTTTCCCAGAATATTCTTTAGAATACTGGATCTGTGTTTTTTTATACCAAAGAGTGATCCTTAGTCAAATGTATAGCTAACACTTACACTAGCTTAGTACGTGCTGTATACTTCCTAGGCACTTTATGTATATTTATTCTTTAATCATTACAATAACTCTGAGATAGGTATTATTAGTCTCATTTTTCAGATGGAGAAGCTAAGGCATAGGAAAACTAAGTCGCTGACTGTCATCCAGCCAGTTAATTTTAGAGCTAGAGTTCAAACCCAGGAACTTTGACTCCAGAATCCATGTTCCTATATGGTCTTGTTAAATTTAATGAGGGTGGAATAAATAAGGTTTTCAAGATTTTATTTATTCATTTGAGAGAGAGAGCGTGCAGGGGGAAGGAGGGAGGGAGAGTGAGTATTCCAACTAGACTCTGCGCTGAACATAGAGCCTGATGTGGGGCTCAATCCCAGGACCCTGAGATCATGACCTGAGCAGAAATCAAGAGTCGGACGTTCAACCGAATGAGCCACCCAGGCACCCCTAAGATGTTTTTTTTTTTTAATATCAGAATTTAGAGCCTTGAAAATTCATTATCACCGTTTTGTAAATCTATTTGACCCTTGGTACATGTGTTCTCATGTGGACTTTTGGGGCTAGTTGTACAAAGAACGTTTGGTGAGATGCTTATCCATCCTATTTCCCACCTCTGACAGCTGAGGAAACAAATTTCCAGAGAGAGAGATTTGTGAGAGTCCTGGTGTTATCAGACCTGGGACTAGACTGAAAGCCTGTCCAGTGCTCTTTCCACTAGGCTTTTTCCATGCCATTTGTAAAAGAAAAAAAAAAGATAGGTTTTTGCCCCAAAGCCTCACAGGTAGACATGTCTAAAGGGGTTAATGAGCATAAAATGGCATCAAAATGTAATGTAAGGTGGCCTCATCAGCGAAAATTAAAGATTTCTGTGGTCCTGAAGCTAGGCCACTTTGTGAGCAAGTTTGCCTGTTGGGGAAGAGAAGGATTTGATGAGTTGTTGGTGGCTCTGAGATGAGAGGCCTGTATTGTTAGCTCGGGCAGCCTTCACTAAATACCATGGACCGGGCAGCTTAAACAACGGTTTATATCCTCACGGTTCTGGAGGCTGAGAAGTCCGGGATCAAGGTGTTGGCTGGTTTGGTTGTTGGTGCTGTAGGCCTCCCTTCTTGGCGTGTAGATGCTCACCTTCCCACTCTGTCCCCACGTGGTAGAGAGAGACGGCAAACTCTGGGATGGCTTCCTTTTCTTAGAAGGGCACCAGCTTTGTTGGATTACAACCTCATTTAACCTTAATCACTCCTTATTAGTCCTATCTCCACTTATAGGTACATTGGGGTTGGGCTTTAGGATATGAATTTTGGGGGGAAACAATTCAGTCCATAGCAGGGACCAAGTGCAAAACCTGGAGATACGTCTGTAGGAGCTGGGGGGAGCCCTAGGCCGACAGTCATAAATTGAATGAAATCATTATGATAATTGATGTGGTTATTATGTTGTTTAGGTGGCACACTTATTCAGGGGCTTTATGATGCCCTTATCATATTTCTCTTAAATATCATTGATGCAGTTGGCCTTCAAATACTGATAGTACTTAAAATTTAAGACTGTTTTATAGAGAGAATTTGTAAAACAGAATCTGTGTGGTAACTAAATACGTGTGTGATTCCGGTCTAATCGTGCCGCAGCTTCTCACTTGGTTCTCTGTAATAGAGGGATCTGGGTCTATGTCTCCGTATTTTGCCCATTCTTTTTTTCCTCTTGGTCTCTGTATAGGGATCCTGCCTCCGCACCACGAATCCCATGCCCAGGTGATGATGTATCACAAGGAGCAGTACTGTGATGTCCTTCATGCCCTGGAAGTTGTTCGCTTTGTCAGCGATGCCACACCTCAGGTTGAAGTCTATCTCCGCATGTATCAGCTGGAGTCTGGGAAGTTGCCTCGAAGTCCCTCCTTTCCACTGGTTAGTGGTACTTTAGTTTGATGCTTGATGCTTGGTTCAACTCTGGACTGTCCTGTCTTGCTGGCCTTTGCATCATATTTTGCCTTAGAAACTTTTTTTTTTTTTTTTTTAAGATTTTATTTGAGAGAGCTCGCACACACAAGCAGGGGGAGCAGGAGGTAGAGGGAGAAGCAGGCTCCCCGCTGAGCAGGGAGCCCCATGCGGGACTCGATCCCAGGACCCTGGGACCATGACCTGAGCCAAAGGCAGATGCTTAACTGACTGAGCCACCCAGGCGCCCCACTTTAGAAACATTCAGTGGCTCTCCTCTGTGTCTTTATGACAAGTTCCATCATTGAGCATTTCCTTACTTTCTGGCACATAAAGATACTCCAAGCCCCTCTTGTACTTTTTCTACCCCAGTCCTAAAATCAGCCATTTCTGTTTTGAACAGTGTGTGGTATTTAGAAACTAAGAAGGGAGCACTAGATGTGCTTGTTGTTTCCGGCGTGATGTTGCTTCTAGGGCCTGTCAGTCGGCAGAGCTAGGAAATACATATACGTTCTATAAATACATAAAGTCCCGTACACACATACACACACCTGTGTATGTTTATATGTCTCTTTATCTCTGAATGTGAAAAAGGCTCAGTTCACGCTGACGCCTCTGATCCCAGCCCAGCACCACCAGTTCTTCTTGCCTTCACCCTTCTGTGTGTGCAGCTTCCTGTCTGACAGGGGCAAATATGAAAAGCCTCCCCTTAGTACAGTTACTTCTTTGCTCATTCCTCTGGTTGGAAGCGGTAGTGCCAGCTACCTCTTGGCCCTCGCCCTCCTTCACTTTGACCCTCCTCGGCCTCAGCCCCACAGGCCCCAGCCTGTTTTTAAACTTCCGTCTTTGACAAACCTTTAACTCCAGTTGCTTGGACTGCTTGTTGTTCATAAAGGGGAAAGAGGGAAAGTTCAGGTAAAGGAATGATTATAGCTCTTGGCTTTGGCTTATTTTAATGCAATTGGAAGTTCATTTTAGGCATTTTAACTTTTTGTGTGTGTGGCTAAAACAGTGATTGCTCAAAATCAGGATTTGCCTGCAAGCTGTGCTATTCTATAAAACTTTTTTTTTTAAAAAGACTTTGAGAGAGGGGCGCCTGGGTGGCTCAGTTGTTAAGCGTCTGCCTTCGGCTCAGGTCATGATCCCGGGGTCCTGGGATCGAGCCCCGCATCGGGCACCCTGCTCGTGGGAAGCCTGCTTCTCCCTCTCCCACCCCCCCCTGCTTGTGTTCCCTCTCTCACTGTGTCTCTCTCTGTCAAATAAATAAATAAAAATCTTAAAAAAAAAAAAAAAAAGACTTAGAGAGAGAATGAGCTGAGGGGGCAGGCAGAAGGAGAAGCAGACTCCCCACTCAGCAGGGAGCCCAATGTGGGGCTCGATCCCAGGACCCCGGATCATGACCTGAGCCGAAGGCAGATGCTTAACCGACTGAGCTACCCATGCACCCCGAAACTTATTTTTTTATTGCAGTTTGCAACCTACCCACATAGCACTTTGAGTTTTGACTTGTTCTTTCTTTTGAAGTGAATGATGTGGCTCCCATGGACAGACCTGAGGTTGTCCACTTGTATTAAGTTTATCAAGAGAGAATGGCCCTGAAAATAATTGGAAGTCTTAACAAACCTTTTTTTTTTTTAAGATTTTATTTATTTATCTGACAGAGTGAGAGTAGGAACACAAGCAGGGGGAGTGGGAGAGGGAGTAGCAGGCTTCCCGCTGAGCAGGGAGCCCAATACGGGGCTTGATCCTAGGATCCTGGTATCATGACCTGAGCCAAAGGCAGACACTTAATGACTGAGCCATCCAGGCGCCCCATCTTAACAAACTTCTGTAAATTTTGCTTATCTCTGGCAGAGCAAAGTTGGTAGTACTCTGCAAGTTCTTAAATTATGTATTAAATCAGGTTAGATTATCTATTAGTTCAAGAAATCTAAATGATAGGTTATGGTTTTCACCTCATCCCTCCTTAGCTTGCCCGTACTCCAAGCCCAGACACCTTCGCTGGTAGTCTTGGGCAGACACACCATCAAGGTGTTGGTTTTGGCTCTGCCACCGCACATCTCCCCAGTCATCAAGCCCCACTCTGCCTCATTCGTGTTACCATGTACTAGAGGGTGTGACAGCACTCGACACAGGGCTGGGAACATACTCAAGGACATTGGTCCTCTTCCCTACCCCTCAGACTCTCCTAGAGCCAGTGAGATGCCACGTTCAGGAGCACCCAGCACAGTGCCCAGTAAGGGGTGGGAGTCCGAGAAAGGAGACTGTCTTTCCCTTTTCTTCCTTCTCTCTCATCCTCTGATACGTTAATTAATGTTTAGAAAAATTTATTTTTTGTGATTGTTACTTTTTTTTATTTTTATTTGAATTTAATTTAATTAACATCAAATGTATTATTGGCTTCAGGGGTAGAATTCAGTGATTTATCAGTTGCATATAACACCCAGTGCTCATTACATCAAATGCCCTCCTTTAATAGCCAGTACCCAATTACCCCATCCCCTGGCTCCCCTCCCCTCCAGCAACCCTCAGTTTGTTTCCTACTGTGATTCTGTTACTCTTGGCCATTTTATAGAATATTAAGAAGTTGAAAGGAGGCCTAAAATGAAATGCTTTTTTAAATTAGGAATTTTGATTTAACTTGGGGCTTTTAAGGGATTTGAGAGATACTTTTTAGTTTCTTTTTTTACACTAAAGTCCTTTGGCTGTTAAATCCTAGATGAAAATAATTTTTTTTTTTTTAAAGAGAGAGCATGTGTGCATGTGCACATGTGCATGAGCTGGGGGAGGGGCAGAGGGAGAGAATCCCAAGCAGGCTCCACACCCGATGTGGGACTCGATCCTGTGACCCTGAGATCATGACCTGAGCCGAAATCAAGAGTTGGGTGCTTAACTGAGGGAGCCACCTAGGTGCTCCTGAAAATGTAATTTTGTGTGAGATATGGTGTTTGAAAACAGAATAGATTTTCAGGAGTTTCTAGTTTTTATAAGATTACTTTGTTGAAATTTACTTGAAGGTTTATATTCATATTCTGAGTATTGACACAAGGTTTGAGAAATGCCGTTCTTCTGATTCCTAAAATTATGATTCTAGGGACATTTTAACTTATTAGGTGCTTAGGACAAAATTCTAAAGATATGTATGAATGCTTTGAAATAAAGAAAATGCTTTATTTTTTTTAAGAAGATGCTTTATTAGTCCTTTTGGAGTCCTTGAACTTTTGCAAATTACTGTATTAACAAACGTCTCCAGTTATTTGTGGTGTTTATCACATACTTTTGAAAGAAATTCTCTTCTAGCCCTGGGAATACTTTTGGGTGGAGAGAGTTAGCACTTTGCTTATGATTTATGTTTTCTTTGATGACCTTAAATGTTAAAAGGTAGAAAAATCTCTGAGTGCTCAGTCCGAAACCTGGACAGTCGTAAGCACCACTGATACATAATAGATTTCTTTGGTTACCTGCTCATATCTCTGCCCTGGTCTTCTCTTTAGTGGTGGACTGTGTGCTTTTTGGTTGCACTTTGATTTATTAATGCAGCCTCTTCAAAAGTTAGGGGGTAAGGTTTCATTTTTATGAGAGAAATCTGTATTCCTCTCTTCCGCTGGCTCCCTCCCTTTACCAGGGATTTATTATTAATCTTTCAGGAGCCAGAAGATGAAGTATTTCTTGCCATTGCCAAAGCCGTGGAAGAGATGGTAGAGGATAGTGTCGACTGTTACTGGATCATCCGATGCTTTGTGAACCAATTAAATAATAAGTACCGGGAGTTTTTACCCCAGCTGGTAAGGGGTGCTTTTTTGGCTCTTGCGGGGGTAGGGGTGAGCAGTGGTACTGGGGAAATAGCCTTACTTCCTCGTGCTGCTACAATTATGAGCGGACCCTCTATAGTAGGAGCCAACAGATGTTTTCCGTAAAAGATCAAGTAGTAAATATTTCCAGGGTGGTGGGCCAGATGGTCTCTGTGTCTCTGTGTCTCTCTTGCCAACACTCAGCTCAGCTCCTGTTGCACCCAAGCGGCCATTGACAGTGCATGAAAGAACGGTCGAGGCTGGATTTGGCCTGCCGCACGCTGTAGTTGGCAACCCCTGCTCTTTTCTGTTCCTTATCCTGGTCTAGGATCTACTGGCTTTATCTAGAATTGCCTCTCTGGATGAGTTAAGGTTTGAATTTGGCTGCATATAGCGGAAAGCCCAACTACCTGAAGCTTTATTTTTTCCTCTCACATAACCAGAAGTCTAGAGGTGAGGCAGGCCAGAGCTGCTGCCAGAATGCCACCATATCTGCGGGGCCCTGGGCTCCTGCCCTCTCGGTCCAGCATTGTTAGGGGTGATCCTCCCTCTCCTGCTCACAGCTGGATGCTGGAGCGACAGCCGCGACCTCTGTGTTCTAGGCAGGTAGGAAGGAAGGGTGAAGTCAAAAGTGAAGGAGTAGAAGGAGCAGCCAGTCCAGTCTGTCTCCCTTGGCCAGACTCTCCTTCCTCATATCTTTTAGTGGCAGGACTATGGCACCTGGCCGCCTCTGTCTGCAGCAGAGGCTGGGAAATGTGGTTTGGTTTGGTTTTAGCCAGCCACCGTCGTGATCTGTTAAGCTAGGATTCTGTTAGTGAGGAAGGAGAGGTGAATGGCCCTGAGCGGGGCAGCCTCCTGGCCGGCTGCGGTGCGCTCACTCGGGAGTCCAGAGAGTGGCACCACACTTGCTCCCTCCGCATAAGCCAGTGGGGGTTCTTTCCCATCCTGTTTTTCTAGTCTTTTCCCTTTGTTTCTCTCCTTTAAAAATGAATGTCTCTTTTCTTAAATCATTGAGTTGTTTCATTTGGAAATTCTGTTGAAAGCAGTAACCGAGATCGTGGTTTCAGGGCCAGATGAGGGGCGCTGATGGAAGTCGATGGAGCCCTGAGGATCCCTGTGCTAACTGCAGTCATCAGGGCAGTTGGCGAGAAGACCCTTTAGCTTTGTAGAGCACTGTTACAAGGGTGTTTTATAGATTTCAGTTATGTAAATTTGATTTTCAGAATTTTAAAATTTAATCCACTTAGTTGATTTCAGTGAAAACAAGCATGGCGATGGAAGCATAATGTTACTTGCTTAATTAAATCAAGAGATCCAGATTATACTATGATTTAATTAGCCTTTCTTATTTAGTATTGAAGTAAATTCTGTAGCATTTTGCTAGTTTATGTTTAACGAATTCTTTATTTTTGATAACACAAGTATATTCTTGAAGTATTAATCTGGATGAATCCAGTATTCGTATATATCTGTACGTCCTCATCCCCCACTTTCTAAGAAGTAAACACTGTCATTAGCTGGGTGTATATCCTAGACTGTTTTATGTACATTAGGTTGGATGGAATCCATCCACATCCACGTATATATACATATGTACACACGCCCATCTATGCGCACACACATGCATATAATGATTTATTTTTTATATATATAACTTCAAAACACGTAAATATTATGATATTGTTCAAATGGCTCTACAATTTTTTTTTTTTAAAGATTTTATTTATTTGACAGAGACACAGTGAGAGAGGGAACACAGCAGGGGGAGAGGGAGAGGGAGAAGCAGGCTTCCCGCTGAGCAGGGAGCCCGATGTGGGGCTCGATTCCAGGACCCTGGGATCATGACCTGAGCCGAAGGCAGATGCTTAACGGCTGAGCCACCCGGGCGCCCCTCTACAATTTTTTTTTAAACTTGACGTCTTGGAGCGCTTTCCAAGTCAGTGCAGATCAGTAGTGTTCAGCCCTGACTTCCTATTAGAACCACCTGGGAGCTTTTAAAAAATTATCAGTGCCTTTCCTCCACCCAGACCCATTAAGTCAGAATCTCTGGGGGTGGGTGGGGCCCAGAATTCTATCTTTTTTTAAAAGCTTCAGGTGATTCTGAAGTGTGGCTAGGGTTGAGAGCTACTCATTTAGAACCACTTTTTTTTCTCTTAAAAATGTGTTCATATTATTTCGTGTTAAGAATTTTGCCGTGTTTTAATATAACAGTTCCATGTTGACAGTCCGCATGCCCTTCTACATGAGCCTTTCTACATATGTGAGTGTTTCTGTAGGACAGGTCCCTGTAAGGGGATTGCTAGGTTGAAAGAGAAATGTACTCAAAGTTTTTAATTGCCAGGCTGCTCACCCGGAAGGCATACCGATTTTGCTTCCCCCAGCAGATAAGATTTTCTGTTTTCCACTCCATTGCCAATACCTGATAGTATCAGTTTCTTAAATTTTTGTTAATCTGATAGTGAAAATGGTATCTCATTTTAATTTACATATTCTCATTTTCTGGTGAAGCTGAGCAGCTTTGCATATGCTTATTGGTCATTTGTATTTGTCCACCTCTCTATTTTGTTTGCAACTTTCTTTTTTATTTGTAAGAGTTATTGATATAGTCAGGATATTAATCCTGCGTTACATATGTTCACAATCTTTTCTCCCTGTCGTATAGAGATTTTTAAAGTTTTGATATAATCGGGTATGTCAGTATTTTGCTTTTTGTATCTTATTTAGGAAACCCTTTCTAACTCCAAGATTAAAAAACAGATTTTTAAAAAACTTTAACTTTTAAAAAATATTTAAATATTTTAATATTTTTTTAGAGGGAGAGAGTGCGCTCAAGCAAGCAGGAGTGGGGGTGGGGTGGGAGGGGCAGAGGGAGAGAGAGCATCTTAAGCAGGCTCCAGTGCCCAGCATGGAGCCCGATGCTGAGCTCAATCTCATGACCATTGAGATAATGACCTGAGCTGAAATCAAGAGTCAAAGGCTTAACTGACTGAGTCACCCAGGTGCCTCTATATTGAAACATTTTAAAATTGAGTCCTTTAATTTGTGAGGGATTTGTGTTTGTGATTGGTTATCAACACAGGTTTGACCTTGTTTCTTTGTTGTTAACAGTAAACCTTCAGTCAGCCTCCTCTTCCCCTTTCGGTTTGATAGTTGTTAAGCTCGTGCTTCATGCCAGGCAGTTTACTTTGTTCATGAAAACTTAATTTTAGCACACCTCTCTGTTTTTATAGATGAGGAAACTGAAGCACAGAGCAGTTAAGTAACTTGCCCAAGGTCACACAGTTAGTAAGCAGTAGAACTACCTACCACTTAATGCTATCTGTCGGTTCATTCTTTTTTTCACAGATTTGAAATGCCACCTTTATCATATACTAGATTTCTGTATGTTTTTGTATCTCTTTCTGGGTTTTTTCCCCCATCAAGCTATTTGTCTGTTCCTCGGCCAATACCATATGATTTATTCAATATAGCTCCCTCGTATGTTTTGGTAGCTGGTAGGGAAACTTCCTTCATGTTGTTGTTCTGTTTCAAAAGTGCCTTGGCTTTGCTTGAACTCCAGTTTCTTTTTAGAAATGAGTTTTGAATCAGCAAGATACTAAATGCCCACTAAACCTTAATTTCATCTTCAAAAAAGAGATTTGTTTTCATATGTACATTATAGTACTTAGCACATAGTTTTAAATAGTTACGAAGTTTTTTTTTCAAGTTCTTCAGAATGTGTAAGAAAAGTTAAATATCCTTTGTGTTGCTATTTGACTTACTGATTTACGTGATCTTTTCTCTTTAAGCTGTGCTCAGTTTCCCATAAAATTTTTATTACTATGGTTAGTGGATCTCTTCTTCCTAGCTTCTTGTTAAAGTAGATTTTTTATAATCTTGTCTCTCATTTTCAAATTTTTGTGGTTTTACCAACTAAATTTGGTTATCACAAAGCATAGCTTGTTTTATCATCCTAGGGAAATGTATATGTGATGGGCAGTGATGGGTTTTTGACATGACAAGAAGATGAGACTCTATCTGGTGATGACACAGTTATTATGTCATAATATTCTGATTGATAGGGTTACATCACAGCGTCTCCTCTCCTTACGAAGCTTTAGGAAATGTTGCTCTTTGACGAGGCCTGTCTTTGGCAAGGAAAATAGAATCCAACCTCAGTGTGTGACCTGCCCGGCCTCTCTGGTTAATCTCTTTCCAGAGCAGACCGTCCTTAAGCCATCTCAGGCTTAAATGTGTTTAATCAGTAAAGTAAGTGAACTAACTTTCATTGCCATTGCTCTGCTTTTTAAAAGCTATCCTAAAGAGAGGTTATTTTGTTTATTTTGTTTTTTAAATAAACACTATTAACAGCCTCTTCCTAAGTTCAATATAAATTCCTCTCAGAGTGGTTAAGTCTTTTTTTTTGGTCAGGTTTTGCCTTCTGTTGATGAGGTACGTTTTCTTTTCTTTATAAAGTAAGAATTTGAGGGTCATGGAAATACTGGAAATAACCTAAAAGTTTAGCAGTAAAATATAATCTCATCTACCATTTGCTGTATACTAAAACTTTCAGGCAATGTAAATATTATCTCTTTCCACTAAAAAAAAAAGTGTATATACATATGTATATTCACTATCTTTCTTAGATTTAGTAGTAGCACGTGATACACATTTTCCTCTACCCTGCTGTTTTCACCTGATATATGCTAGAAATCATGCCATAAGTAATACAGTTGGCCCTTGAACAATGCTGAAGTTAGGGATGCTAAGCCCCCACACAGTTGAAAATCATGTATAACTTTTGACTCCCTAGAAACTTAACTACTGTAGCCTACTGTTGACTGGAAGCCTTACCAAGAACGTGAACAGTCTATTAACACATATTACATATTTTGTATGTTACATGTATTATAGACTCTATTCTTACAATAAAGGAACCTAGAGAAAAAATGTTATTAAGAAAATCATAAGGAAGAAAATATACATTTATAATGTGCATGTGCATTTATTAAAACACATTTACATATCAGTGGACCCACGTAGTTCAAACTCATGTTGTTCAAGGGTCAGCTGTATATAGAGACATTCCTTATTCCTTTTCACAGCTTCATTGTGTGACCTGGCCGGCCTCTCTGGTTAATCTCTTTCCACTCTTTCTACTTTCCACTCTTTCTACTCCACTCTGTGTATATACTTTGGTTTATCTGACCTGTCCTCTTTTGGCCACTTAGGATGTTTCTAGTCTTTTGTTGTTATATGCGGTGTTACGGATAAATAGTTTTGTGCATATACCTTTTCATTTATTTACCAGTATATTTGGGGGATATGTTTCCTAGAAATAGGTTGACTGGATCAAAGGGTAAGGGCATATGTTATTTTGCTAGATAGTTCCAAATTCTCCTTCATAGACCTCATCCTCATGACCAGTGAATGAGAATGAATGTGTTTCCCTACAGTATCCCTTGCCAACATGGTGTGTCATTTTTGCCAGTCAGATAGGTGAGAGATAGATGATACCTCAGTATGGCTTTTTTTTTAAGGGTGAAAGTTTTTTCATTGATTTTTTTTTTTTTTAAGATTTTATTTATTTATTTGAGAGAGAGAATGAGATAGAGCATGAGAGAGGGGAGGGCCAGAGGGAGAAGCAGACTCCCCGCTGAGCAGGGAGCCCAATGCGGGACTCGATCCCGGGACTCCAGGATCATGACCTGAGCTGAAGGCAGTCGCTTAACCAACTGAGCCACCCAGGCGCCCCTTTTCATTGATTTTTAAAAATTTTAATTCTAGTATAGTTCACATACAGTGTTGTATTAGTTTCAGGTGTACAGTATAGTGATTCAACAATTCTGTATGTTACTCAGTCTCCTCATGTTAAGTGTACTCTTAATCTCTATTGCCTATTTCACCCACCCACCACCTCCCCTCTGGGAACTATTAGTTCTCTGGAGTTAAGATTCTGTTTCTTGGTTTGCCTCCCTCTCTTTTTCCTTTCCCCTATGTTCATCTGTTTTGGTTCTTTTTTTTTTTAAGATTTTATTTATTTATTTGATGGAGAGCACAAGCAGGGGAAGCTGCAGAGGGAGAAGCAGGCTGCCCATTGAGCAGAGAGCCCGATGTGGGGCTCGATTCCAGGACCCTGGGATCATGACCTGAGCCAAAGGCACACACTTAACCAGCTGAGCCACCCAGGCGCCCCACATCTGTTTTGTTTCTTAAATTCCACATATGACTGAGATCATATGGTATTGGCCTTTCTTTGACTTATTTCACTTAACATCATACCCTCTAGCTCCATCCACGTCATTGCAAATGGCAAGATTTCATTCTTTTTTTATGGCTGAGTAATATTCCATTGTGTATATATTCCACATCTTCTTTATCCATTCATCTGTTGGTGAACACTTGGGCTGTTTCCATAGTTTGGGTTATTGTAGATAATGCTGTAGTAAACATTGGGGTGCATGTATCTCCTTGAATTAGTGTTTTTATATTTTTTGGTTGGCTAAATACCCAGTCGTGTGATTACTAGAGATGATACCTTAGTGTAGTTTTGTTTGTTGTTGTTGTTGTTGTTGTTGTTGTTTTAAATACCAAGGTTGAGCATCTTTCTTATGGGTGAGGGTCATTTGCATTTTTTTCTTTGGAGATTTTGGCTTTTTCTTCTCTGTTTTTAGAAGCTCTCTTTATTTAGGGATATTCACCCTTTAAGATTGTTTATTAACCTGGGAAAATGCCCACAATATGTTGAGTGCAAAGAGTAAGATACTAAATTGTGTATTCAGTATGAGGCCAACTAATAAAAGTGTGTGTAATGTATACCGGAAAACAATTGGGTGCTATACAACCTATATATTACCAGTAGTTATCTTTGGGTAGTGTGAGTTTAAGGGATCTTTATATCCTTCTTTATTCTTTACTGTATTTTTGAGATTTCTTATAATGAACATATTAGGAAAAAAGATTTAGAAAAATTTAAGACTGGCAGGAAGACGTACATTGAGTGATTATCAAGATGTTGATTAACATTTCATTTAATTCATGATACTCAATGATTATATATTGAGTGCTTACTATGCTGAGTAGTGTTCTAGGTACTGGAGAACTAGCAGTGAACAGAGTAGATATAGTCCCTGCCCTCACTGAGTTTACAGTATGGTAAGGGAAGAGGCAATAAATAGTTCAAAATTTTCACTCATCTGTATCTTATTTGTTATTTGTACTGACTTTTGGATGAGATTTTCTTTGCTATGAGACATAATATATAAATATGTGTATGTGTGTGTTCACCCATGTCAGTTTGTGAAAAAACATTCCATTGGCAGAACTACCCAAAATTCTAGAGAGGGTTTTAGAGGTGAAAGGTGAGGACAAGAGCCCTTTGACAACTTGTACTTTGGAGAAGACTCCTGTTTGGGGGAGCTGTGTGTAGTGTTCTTGAGAAGGTCTAGGAATTTGGTTAAACAGAAAAAATTAGAGATCCCCTGAAAGAGGAGAAAACTGGGCCCGATACTAATATGTGGGCCTCTCTTTGCCTGGTTAGTTCCCGTCATTCTTTGTAAGCCAGCTCAGATGTCACCTCTCTGGGAAAAGGTGACTTGTAAAGCCTGGGTTTGGATTCCCACCTCGATGTGTCCAGCATCCTGTGCTTACCCCATGATAGCTTTATTACATGTTTGTCTCTCTCTCTTTTTTTAAGATTTTATTTATTTATTTGACAGAGAGACAGAGCAGGAACACAAGCAGGGAGGAGTGGGAGAGGGAGAAGCAAACTTCCCACTGAGCAGGGAGCCCGATGTGGGGCTCGATCCCAGGACCCTGAGGTCATGACCTGAGCCGAAGGCAGACGCTTAATGACTGAGCCACCCAGGCGCCCCTATATGTTTGTCTCAAGCAGATTGTACGCTCCCTGAAGGCAGGGACATTATGTCATTATGTCATTTACTCTATTCCCTGTATGTAGCATAGGGTTTGGCTCTAGCAAACATTGTAAGGGTTATGAATTAGCTCTTTGGGCGAGATGCAGATATTTAGTAAAATAAACATTTGCATTTGCTTAGGTGATATGGGATGTCGTCGTGTTTTTCTGGATAAGGAATACAGACTTCAGGGTTTGACCCCCAAGTGCCATTCTTGGCCAGTGGACCCTAAATACAGCAGCTTGCCAGGTGGATTTGGCTGGTCTGGGAGCCGGCTTTGTTAGCTCGCCCAGGCTCCTAGGGTTGACTGCTGCTTAACCTTTCATGGGAGAGGCTACCAGATGGAATCCAGTTGCTTTGTTCCCCCCACGTTATTTCTCTGCCTCCTGAGAATTCTCCTGCAAGCGGGGTACAGAGTGTCTCCTCTGGATGTCTCTGTTGTAGGGGTCTCTTTGGCGTGGTGCACAGTAGTGCTTGGCAGAGGTGTGGTCTAGGACCGGTGGGCCCTTTTCACGTCCAGCTCTTTTTGTCTCATTCTTCTGAACCCCCTCTCCCCATTTTGGTCCCACTCTGTTTCTTTGATCTTACCCTTTCCCCTTCTCCCTTTTTCCTGAGTATATCATTGATGGCTCTAGGGCACCTGGGAGCGTCATGGGCCTTTCTTAGTTCCCCCAAACAGTTGACTTTTGCCTTTGGCTGTGGAACCTTGTTAGTGCTGTTGGGGCACATTACGGGGAACAACTGTTTTGTTTTGCCTGGTCCCGTCCTGGAAAACCCCTTAGTCCCACATTGCTGGTTGCTCTGGTTAGGGCTGACCTGGGAACTTTGCGTCACCCATGACTTGGGTGAGTCTTAAGTTTTGTTTTCTAGCACTTACTTGCATTCAGCATGTACATTCAATTCATCTTATTCATCACAGGCTGTAAGATCGGGTAATGTTACGTCACAGGAAATGAGTAATCTCCCTTCCTGTTTAATCATCAGCCAAAGGCTTTTGAACAATACTTGAATCTGGAAGATAGCCGTTTGCTGAGTCATCTGAAGACGTGTTCCGCGCTGTCCAGACTTCCTTATGATCTCTGGTTCAAGAGGTGCTTCGCAGGGTGCTTGCCTGAATCCAGTTTACAGAGGCAAGTATCGCTTTCAGAGATGGTCAAGGCCTGAAGGCCGAGGAGCATCCTGGTTTTTCAAGTGTGATCGTCCTTCAGAGTATGAATTTGCTTTAGGACAATACCATAATTTGAAGCTAACTTCTCTGGCAGGCAACAGAGCAACTTGATTCTACTTATTATTTATACAGTTAGAAATGCTGGAACATTAGTAACGTTAACCTCACATGAATACAAATTAATGGTAGAAATATTAGAATATACAATTAGAAAACTTGAAGGCCTCAGTCTGTTGGATGCTGTACACTATTCACATCTGAAACCATCTCCGGGAGCTTATATAGGTCTAGGCTTTTCTTGTCCAGAAATGTGGGAGATCCTGATCTGGAGGAAATCTTCCTATTTCTTAGTTCCATCGTGACATCTTTAAAGTGGCTGAAGGTGGGCAGAGATCAGAGACTCACACTCAGCTTTCATTTGCTTCAGACATGTGTTGCTGGCATTTCAGAGTCCTGTCCCCTCCCCAAGACTGTATGAGGTAGTTGGGAAGAAAGGTGACATGCAGAGAACATCACAAGACAGTATATGACTAAGCACATAGAGTGTAACACCAACTTTAAGAGGTATAGGAATTATCAGAATAGTTTTTCTAGAGTGGTCGCAGATCAATAACTAGCCCCTTAAGCTCTTTTTAAAAAAATTATATTTATTAGAGAGCGAGATAGCGAGAGAGAGCACAGGCAGGGGGCGGAGAGGGGAGAAGCAGGCTCTCTGCTGAGCAGGGAGCCCAATGCAGGACTCGATCCCAGGACCCTGCGATCGTGACCTGAGCCAAAGTTAGATGCTTAACCCACTGAGCCACCCAGGTGCCCCCTAGCTCCTTAAGCTCTTGGAGAAGTTTTAGGAATTTGAACCACTAGAAAATGAAATTGCATTGATCTCATTTCATATACTGCTTTTGTTATTCCTTAGTATTTAATTATTAGATTAGCATTACACAATATTAATAAAATCCAAACTTTGGTTTAAGACTTTCCTTCCCTTAAATGTCAGGTTCAAAACCTTAGGGAATGGGTGTCTGGTGGATCTCTTACAGAGCAAGTACTTTTTAGTGATCATTCCTTTTTCCCTTCCAGTGCTGATTGTGTGTGAAATATGTTTCAAAATGGCTGATTTGTTGTGTTTTTGCTTTTCTGATGATTATTTCATTACTGCTTTTCTCTGAAGTTTATACTTAAAAGGGGTAATTTGATTTAATTTTGTAATTTGAGATGTTTAAACATAAATTTCAAACTCATAATTTTATTATATCACTTGATTTTTTTATAGGGTTTGGGATAAAGTTGTAAGTGGATCCTGTAAGATCCTAGTTTTTGTAGCTGTGGAAATTTTATTAACCTTTAAAATAAAAGTAATGGCTCTGAACAGTGCAGAGAAGATAACAAAGTTTCTGGAAAATGTAAGTGTGCTTTTTTTTAAAATTTGATTTTGAATCTAGAAAGGAAGTCCATTTAGCAAGCCAGATTTTCCTATTGCATTACATTCTTTCTCTGATATTTTTACCTTATAAGAAACACTTTTTCCCCGTGGAAAAATTCAGCTTAAAATTGATCTGTGGGTTATAGTTTGCATCCTCTCTTTGGGGGATGATGGTCTGAGGAGTGAGACTGTTGTCGTGAGTGTGTGCATGAAGACCAGAGTCTTACCGCCTGATGTGACCACCAGGAAGCTTGTTGAGAAAAGGAAGAGGTGAGTGAGATCTGTCATGCGAGGTCGAGTAGTCCTTCTTAGTGGAAAAGGAAGCCTGATGTTGTGGGGGTTTTTGTAAGCCCTTTCATTGCTGTTACTATCTGGCGGAATCCCAGCTGGGTTTGATCATGTGCTTAAGTATATACTTAGTACATGTAGGGAAAGGTCTAAATGAATGTCTGTGTATCTTAGAATACCCTTAACCAGGTGAGACTTGGAGGAGATTTATGCCGGGATGAATTTCACTGGACCCAGAATCTATTCTTTTTTTTACTTGGCCGCTATTAACATTTGAATAGCGGCTCAGTAAATAGCACCACGTGAAGGCGTGGTGAGTACAGGAGTCCTCAGCATCCTGTTAGTGGCTGACAGTGCCAGGGCCCATGCTAAGTATTTTTCACCGAGTCTCGCACATAATCCTAAATGGCCCTAGGAAGAGAGGCTGTCATTTGCCCCCTTTTAGAGGTGGGATCTGAACTCAGGTAGCCTGCCGGGGGGCACACAGTGGGCAGTGCAGGCTTGAAAGCCGGGTAGTCTGAGCGGAGCTCTTCAGCCTGTCCTCCGGTGGCCTGTGAACCAAAGACCCTGGCCGCAGCCTTTCACATGATTGCTTCTGAAAAGTTGTGAGAACCTTTGGGGGGGCCGGGGGGGCGGATGGGGATGTAAGTGCTGTGGTGCGGCGAATGAGGGAGACGAGAATGTTATACACACTGAAGTTTCACAACGACTGGTTTGCTTGTCCACAGATTCCCCGGGACAGCTCGGACGCGATTGTGAGCAAGGCCATCGATTTGTGGCACAAGCACTGCGGGACCCCAGTGCACTCAGCCTGACGGCTCCCTGCGCCCTCGGCCTACCAGGCCGCCGCCCACTGCACTCACTGAAAATCCCGTTCTTGCTTTGGTGCTCAAAGCGTCACTTTTCCCCAGGACAATTATTTAAGATACCTGGTGACACTGTTAGGAGCAGCAACTTGTGGTTACACAGAAGTACAAAGCTCAACTCCGAATAGCATTTAAAAGGGTTATTCAGAAATACCTCCCTGTTTTCCAAGCATCAGCCAGGAAGGGTGGGTGCTTTGATAGGCAAGCCTGCCCTGCTCCTCTCTAATTAGCACCACGCTCGTTACTTTCTAAAGCTATTTCTGGAATAAAGAACAACTTCCTTTTGCGGACAACTCCGATTCGGCTCTCGTTGATGCGGTACTTGTTTAAATCTAAGCGGTCTGCTTTCTGAGGCTTTGTCTTGCCACATAGGTTTCAATAAAAGCCTTACATTTTTTTTTTCCTCTGTGTCAGCCGGAATGAAAGTTATGGAACAAAATATTCTAAATTTACCTACCAGGAGAGAGAATACTTGTGGATGTCATGCTTTTTCCTTTTTTTTTTTTTTTAAGATTTTATTTATTTATTTGACAGAGACGCAGCAAGAGAGGGAACACAAGCAGGGGGAGTGGAAGAGGGAGAAGCAGGCCTCCCGCAGAGCGGGGTGCCCGATGCGGGGCTCAATCCCAGGACCCTGGGATCATGACCTGAGCCTAAGGCAGACGCTTAACAACTGAGCCACCCAGGCGCCCCTGTCATGCTTTTTCCTGATGGGTCATTAAACGTTGGGTGGGCTCTAGGGAGCACTCTGCCACCCAGCATTGGAATGGGAGAAATGGCAGGCTAAGGTTAATAGCTAATGCCCCTGGGCCCTGTTGTGCCACATAATGGTTACTGTTGATTGGACAGTTGTAGGCTTTGAGACCGGTGATTGATAGGAGGCCCTTTGTTCAAGACTGATTCAGCTGTCGGACCTGCAGGAGCCTGAGTGGTGAGTTGGTTCTCTACCCTACCCCACACCCAGAAGAGGAGGAAGACCATGAAATTATGCAGCTAGAATTTGGAGAATTCCTTCCCTCCCTAATGTGTAGAATAACTGCTGACGAAGAAGTCAGAGTGAACGGAATCATTGCAGCCAGCTGGTACTTCCGTATAGTAACATACCCAAGAGTATTTCATTTTTAAAACAAAAAAATACACCCAGAAGGAAACTTAAGGCAAAATACTGTCTACAGTTAACTGCTTTACATTTATTCAGTGATTGGCTCTGCCCCTGAAGGACTTTGCAGCCAGTTGGAGACAGAAAACACATAAGGAATTCCTGCTCCAGTTGTCTGGTGTTTGGTGATCTTGGGGGATATGGGAAATTCACAGAGAAGTCCTAAAACAAAAATAATTTTACTTCTATTTAATTTATGAGCTATGTATCATCAGTACAGCTTTTTAGTAAAATACAGATTATAAAGTCAAGTAATAGTAAATCTCAACTCCAGAGAAAGAGGAAAGGAAGAATTAGCAACCTCTCAACAAGAGGATAGTTTCAAGGAATGTGCTCGTGCTTACTCCTGAATTCTGGGAGAAGACTGGCATGTCATAGAGCGAGTGTGGGAGGCAGAGGGGGGCAGGGGGCACCTGGGATGCTTGGGCAGGAGGAAGCCTAGGGGGCTGACACATGCCTCTTCACAACTTTGGGGAGGGTGCAGAGGAGCTGAAGGGAAGACTCTTACTGTCCTACGAAGGGATTGGAACAGAAGTATTCTGCCAAACCCAGGTTGGTCAGACCTTTCTGGTGAAGGACTCGGGTGGGGATTTTCTCTTAAAGTGAGTCGTGTGACACCATCAAGAGTTTTCTTAGACAACCAAATAGCTCCATCTCAGCAGAAGGGTTTTTTAAGGACCCCTATGAGGACAGTAGCAGAATAGGTGAGGATCCAATTTCATTTTGATATCAGAATTTTGTTTTGCTGAGAGCCGCAGTGTTTTGAAATTGTTTCTGCCCACTGCCTTTGGTGAGAAGCACAGCTCCTGATGAAAATACCCCCATAGTCCCATGATTCAAAACATTTTGTCAGGATACTGCAGAATTTCCCCTCGGTGTTACAGCCCCAGGGTTTTTGTTACAGCTGAAACTGTTAGGGCTAATCTGTGGGGCTCTCCCTCTCCCTTGGAAAACTAGGATTTAACATTACTAAATTTAGTTTTAGTCCTTCCCAGGCACAGTGTTGTCTTTTTTTTAAACATTAGCTCATTCATTCATTCATTCTTTCATTCATTTTTTACAGTGTGTTCATAAACATGATGAAAAAGCTCCAAATCTGCTCGCTTAGGAGCTACTGAGAGCCTGGGAAGGTTGAGATGTGTGTGGCTTCTGCCTCATAACAGATGGACGGATTGCGTGCACACAGGCTTGTGGGGATGTGCCTGAGGTTACTTCAGCAAATGGGTCAGGGTTCATTAGAATGAAGTGCTTTTTTTGGTTAATGGAAAGTTTGCCTGAAAATCATGGGGCAGGCCTCAAATCCCACGATGTGGAGGAAGAGCCCTGAAGGCCTCCATCCTCTCTGGCTGTGAGTGTGAGGCGTATGCCTGCCCTGTCTTGAATTACTTAAGGATCCTCCCTTGGCTCTGACCCATTCCCTGTCGTGTGGTCATCACTTCCTCAGTATGGGGATTTATTTATTTTTCTCCCTAAGAGTGAAGACTCTGGAGGGAAGTCTGTGAGGGTGAGGAGGGTAAAAATAGAGCCTCTTTCCTGGTCGTGTGAGATTTCAAGCAGGAGACGAGTCCAGACTTCAGCCAGGGGCAGCCTTTGGGGGGGGGGCTGGGTAGCTGGCACGGTGGCTGGCTCTGCCATCCACATCTGCCGGAGGTCACGTAGGATAAGCAGCTTTTGCCTTCAGCTGGATGGTCTGGGTTTGGAAGGGCCAGAGGACATGTCTCCCTGCCTTGACAGAGAGGGGACTGAGAATTTTTGTAGCAGGAGTTGGTGGTGTTCTCTCTGGTGGATGAAACAAAGAGCTATTTCTCCTTTAGACTCCGTGCCAAATGAAACTGCTTGTGGTTCTTGGCACCAGCCACACCTCTCTAGGTCAGCTGTTGCTTACCCAGTGTTGGCACCAGTTTGGGAGGGAGGGGCTGTGTAGGAAGAGGGGTGATGAGAACAGGAGGGAGCTCGGAATTTTCCTGGAGGACCACAGGATGGGGTGGGGGGGGCCGTCCTTTTTACTGCTTTCCTGACTGGTTCTTCCCTGTCTTTTTTGGTTTCTTTTCAGCCTTTTGTTGTGGAGGCTAAAAAGTAAGTGGACAGTTAGTTGCCAGGTGAGGTGACAGTGCCTCACCTCCCTCCTGGGAGTGGGTTTTACTGTAGGGCAACCACAGGGGGAGGCTGGAGAATGTGATCCAAGAAGAACATGGGAAAGATCCTTCCAGAAACTTGTCCTGACTGAGCAGAACTCCAAATAGAACATCACAGTAGGTGCTTAGTGTTCAGACCTCAAGATCACACCTAAAACGTAGGTACGACTGTGTCTTTTACCAAGAACTTGTGCACAGTCTCACCGGGGACCACACGCACACTAGCCTCTGACCCTCCTGTTCCTGCAGAGTTAGCAAAGAGTACCCTGCCGTTTGTAGTTTTGGCATCTCTCTTCTCCCACCCCTGCCTGCCCTCTGCACTGATGCCCTGAAGGTTTGGAAGGGAGGCAGCAAGGAGGAGGAGAGCTTTGGACCGCTCACTTCCACACGTGAGAAGGCTGCGCTCACCGCCGTGGGGAGCCTCTGTCCCCCGCCTCCCATTCCTCCTCTTCCTTTCTGTTTGGTTCATTCGCTCTCTTAGTCATTCTCATTCCGTCGTGAAATCAGCTTGAACACACTCCTAATTATGGACCAGGTACTGAGCTTAATGCTGAACAAGTCCTATGGTGGCTGCCCTCTTAGAGCTTGCAGTCATGTGGGGAAGACAAATGCTAAATTAAACAAGGACGTACTGTGTTCTCTCCGTCTTAAAGGGTACCTCTCAACTCCTCTGAGCTGCCCACAAAGGAGAAGGTAACGTGGGTTGGCCCAGGAGCTTCAGAGCAGGGTTAGGATTACTCTGACATGTGTGCTGCTTGTTCCCTGGTTTGTGGGGAGGGTTGGGGTGCGGGGGGAGGGCCTGAGCTTTTGCCCCACTCACTAGTCCGTGACCCTGGGGGGCTCACTCAGTCTGTGTTTGCTTCCCTACCATCAAACAGCGGCGATTCTGTTACATTCCTTACCCCGCAGAGTGCTGGCGAATGAGAAAGCGGTTTAGGAAATCTGGAGCTCTCTATAACATCGAGCGTTTTTGGTAGCATTGTTCGCAAGGACGCAGCCAGGCAGCCAGGCGCTGCCTGTTTGAATCAGCACTGCGCTTCGAGGCCTGACTCCCTCTGCCTGAACTGCCGAGCTGAAAGGGGGTTCTCCTTCCTCTCAGCCTCTATCCTGCTGCAGCTACCACTCATTTCGTGATAACTGCTTGGAAGGCTCTTGTCTGCTGGTCTTGGACTTCTTCTAAACTTTCCATGTGGTTTTCCTCTAAATTGCAAGCCTCTGGAGGCCTGTGTCTTGTTCCCTTTCCTTGCTTCCCGCCTCATCTAGTACAGCTCCTCATGCAGGTTTTCTCCCCCAAACTGTGCCAGCCCACCCTTCTCTGGGCTTGTGCTCATCTTTGCCAGGAACGTCCTCTCCCCCCTCCATCTCTGAAGTTCAGCTCAAGCAGCCCCTCCTCCAGGAAGCTCTCCTGGCTGTCTGTCCCTTTCCTGTTGCCTCAGGCTTGTTTCCTTCCCAGTACTCTGTGTTCTTTTCACCACATTTAATACGTTGGCTGAGGTCCCACACTAGCCCATGAGCTCCTTGAGGGTAGAGATGTGTCTCATTCTCTTTTCTTTCCCTCAGAGCCAAAGCACATCTCAGCCGGCTTCGTCTCGCCATGGACATGAGTCTGAGTACCATGCATGCCCGCCTCAGTGTTAAGACTTCCGTGGTGACAAGTAATGGAATTGTCTGGAGCTAGCTTACCTACAGGAGACCTTTATTCTAGGATACAGGGTGAGGCTCAGGACCCAGGGGGCTCAGGACTGGCTAGCTCTGGGACGGGACTAACGAGAGCCTGGGCTCTTGGACTCTGACCTACGCTGTGTGTCTGCTGTGTTCTCTCTCCCAGCTGTGCAGATTGCTCGGGTAGAAGATGCCTCACTCTAAGATCCTCAGCTGATTTGTCATGGGTCCAGCCTCTGGAGACGGTCTCTCGGTTCCAGTTTGTCAGACTGAGAGAGAGAGGCTGTGGTCCAGCTGGGCTCCGGTGCTGGCCGTAGACCGGTCGGCCCTAGCCGTG